AAATCTAAACATTATAGTTGTAAAAACATTTTGTACAAATACACACACACACACTCACTCACTCACTCACTCACTTACTCACTCACTCACTYACTCACTCACTCACTCACTTCTACACAATTTCATTATATAGACCGCAAAGTGAAACATAATATAAATTACTCAACACATACACAGTAATACATAACAATATTATTTGATAAAATTAATGAAATTCTGGAAAGAAAAATAAAAGTCTATTCTATAATAATTCCGAGAAATTCTTGTCATAATTTCCTTTTTGGAAAATAAAGTTTCACATAATATCTTGGATTCAATTTTTTTATATTTCATTTAATTAGTATCTCTTGTTTTGTTTCAATTTTACTCAATAGAAAATTTAATGATTTTATACTTTGCTATGAATTCATACAAAATAAGGAGAGTCTCTAATTTCTAGAGTTTGTCAATAATGTCAATATATTTGCCAAATATTATAGTATTGAAATCTTGCTGTTGTTAGGTGTCAATAATATTTAAATAATAAATACAAATACTTATATTTATCTACTATTTTTTTACCTGTAAACCTAAATATATCTCAAATATTTGATATTACAAAAACATTATTGTTATTACAAAAATTATAGATATTTAATTTTAGTTAAAACATCAGTTAATTATTAAAAATTAATATTAACAATATATTTATTAAACTACAAATAATTATTAAATTAGTGTATAGTTGTTTTTMTAAAATCAATTATCTGTTCAAATAAATAAAATTAATTTGTAATTTTGATATTATAAATTTAAAATGCAATATGATATATTATATTAGTGCCATTAAACTCTTAAATTAATATAATGATATAAATAAAATAAAAAGCCATAAATAAAATTGCAATATAAAACAAATTGCTAAAAGATAGATAAACATTTATTTGTTATTTTTGTTTGAATTGCAAATGTATAATATGTTTAGTTTAAATATTAGAAATAACTAAAATATAGACAATAGAGCTCAGGTTAGTTTAGTTTAGTAATAGTTTCGAYAAACTATAGCAAAATGAAATATATTTCTAGATAATAATTATAAAATGTTATATAAATTTAGACATTAGTATATTTTATTTTATATTATAGTATATTATAATGAAATATTTTTTTATTTATATTTTAATTGTATCTAGAACTTAGATTGCAACAAAATTTTAATATAAACTTATACTCTATATCTATAAGTATAAAATTATTTAGTAATATAATAATTTATATATTTTATAGTTTAAAACTAATTTAAAAAACAATTTATTTACAACAGATATTTATTGCAAAACAATACATAATTTTGGACACAAAACTGTTTATTAATACCTATGAGTTGACACTACAGCAAACTAAAGGTAATCAATGCGGCAAAGATTTGGCCAAATAAACCGATACATTAGTTGACCGCTTAAAATCCCAAATTACATAAAGTTATATTCATTTTATATTATAAAATCATTTAATTAATAAATCAACAAAAATTCATAGTATATATGTTATCATATAATATAATTTTTCATTAATACATACTTAATGAAGTTTTTTTTCTATTTTTGAATATACTGTACATACCGTATATAATATGTATAAATTAAAATCTATATAAGTTATACATTTATGCAAATTTAATCTTATATAAGAACAATATCATTAAAATATAACAATTCAGCAATTATAACAACAAAATTCGTAATAAAAATAATGTATAATTTATATTAATTTATTTTTCTGTGTTTCATAAATAAAAATAATTAATATGAAATTTATTGCATCAAATAAAATTTTTATATGTTACTTTCTATAAYTATATATTTAATTAAATTTGACCAATAATTTATAAATACACAATTTTAATATAAAATTTCAACTAAAATATATTTTAAAAATTGTATATTAAAATGTGATAAAAAAACAATTTTAAGCTTATTTAACTTCAATTAATTGTATATAGAGATGGGCAAATAGAAAGTTTCTAATAAATTTCCGTGAGAAAGTTTCTAGAAAATTTCTCAGGAATAAATTTCTACAGAAATTTAACTTTATTGTTATACTATGGGATCCCCATATCTTTAGCTATTATAATATTATAAATATATTAATGAGACATAATACTGTATATATAATATTATACTATTATACAAATGGGATCCCTATATAAATAATTATTATTATTTAATAATAATCAGTTTTGTAAAATTTTATTGACCTTTTTATTATAGTATAGTTTAGTATAATTAAATAAATATATTTTTTACTTTAATTAGTAATTTAAATACTAATACTAATATTTAATTATTACTTTTAAAAACAATGTTACAAGATAACAAATATAGAGAAAACAAAATTAACATGGGGATCCCATAGATAGAAATTTCTTTTAGAAACTTTCTAGAAATTTCTCTATTATTTTATAAATTTCTCTTTTTTGCCAACACTAATTGTATAGCTACTGTATTATCATTGAAAAATAAGTCAATAATTAAGGACTAAAAATATATAATTTTTATTTTTTTATGAATAATAATAATACTTAAATGAAAAATTAATGAAAAATTAAATCATGTGTTAACTCTAATGATGAGATAAAACGGTATGAAAAAGACAAAAGAGATGAGAGAAAGACAATGGGATGTCCTTTCCAGCCCTCAATACATTCAAAACATTTACAAATCAATGATCCCATAACTATCTCTCTCTCTCTCTCTCTCTCTCTCTCTCTCTCTCTCTCTCTCTCACTCACTCACTCACTCACTCACTCACTCACTCACTCACTCACTCACTCACTCACTCACTCACTCATTCACTCTCGTACTCTTGCACTCACTTATTCACTGACATTGTCTTTAATATCTTTTTATTTTAAGTGATAAACGATTTATAGTTTCTCGTTGGGGAAGGAATGGGAGGAAAAGATTAATACTTAAGAGAACATGAAGTTTGTGTTAATATCATAATAGCTATTATTCTCATTTGGCTTTTCAAYAGTGTCGACAACACTTTAAATACGACCCACACTTAAGCGCTGATATTATTTACTAAATTAAAAACCCGATGCCTTCACATACCAGTGCAATATCACTGGTTATGTCATTCTTTAAATAGTTTATCCAAACAATATTAGAAATAAATAATTAAATTTTTACAATTATTATTTCATTTGCAATTGTTTTAAATCATATAACTAAACAATTTTATATGTCATTTATAATATAAATTAAATTATATATTATAAAATAAACCAATAATCTAATGTCTATTAGTGTGTTCTCTAAGTGTGATATGTTTTGAAAACTTAGTTAGATTTGACGTTTAGATTTATTATAATTTAATTATAAATATTAAATGYATTATAAAAACAAAAATGTTAATTTATTAATTAAACTGTTAACATAATTTAAAAATACACTTTTATTTGTATTGTAAAAATAATTGAAATTTCTATCAATGATATAATTAAATATAACAAAAAAGTTGTTTTCACTATAAAATTTATCTATATTTTATACACTATATATCTTTATATTTACACAATTTATATAAATCATGCATTAAATGATAGACCAGAAGCTTCAAATAGAAGTGCTTTTAATATAATAATAATAAATTAGCATAAATTACATATATTTATAGTATTTAATATTTTAATTGATTAAATATATATTTCATAAAATAATACTGTATATATCATATATATATACTGTAAATCTATCATATTATAACAAATATTAAATCATTTTTATGTTATTATCCAACCACTACTAAACAAATATAGTAAAATAAGTTGACATTAAAGCTATCAATAAATCATTTTATTTTTTTTTACTTTTATACTAATATTATTATTAACTCAAACTTTCAGTCAAAGTATAGTTTAGTCAAATGGAAATAAATATTAAGAAAATTTATTAATAATAAAATTGTGTTATATTTTCTATATTTTTAAAGATAATTTATTGGCAAATGTTTATATATATATATATATGTGTGTGTGTGTGTGTGTTTGGTGTATAATAAAACCCGATTTTGTTTTGGCAGACATTTAATAAAAAATTGATTTATGTGTCATAATATTTAATTATAAGAAACCAGACGTTTAARTAAAAATATATTTATACTAAATTTGCGTTTATTTTTTGTGGATATTCTATATTATAATGAAAAAATTATTATTATTATTACTATTATTACTATTATTAAATAAATGCAGTTTTTGTGTAAATTTTTTTTGTAACCATAAATGACACCCAAATTTCACAGTTGATTATTATCTCATACATCAAATAAGACAAACAAAAAACTCATCATTTGATTTAATCAGATATAACACATATAAACACAAAAACAAAACAAATAATGATATAATTGAATAAAATAATTTGACATTATTAACATAGAATTAAGTTATATAAATATGAATTATATTCATAAATAGATAAATAAAATAATATCAAAAAAATTATTACATAACATGTATATCTATGATGACATAATGACACATACATTAAAAAAAATTGTCGTAATCAAGTTTCCCTATCAATAATTATTTGAGAAAATATAAACAAAATAAATAAAGTTTAGAATATTATAATAAATAATAAATAATGACATAATGTGTATAAATAAATTGCCAAACTTTTAAATATATAATACTTTTACATTTCCAAAGATTTTGAATTATTTTTTGAAAATAAAACTACATTTTACACTAATATAGTCATAAATTAAATGGTTTTATTTAAAATGCAATGCATGTAGTGTAACATTAAGAGCAACTTTCAAGTTGCTATCAAATGCCATATATTTAAACGTAAATTTTATTTTATATTATAATATAGTACTCTATTGATACAGTACATGCCATATAAAAATTAGTATATAAATTGCTTATATAGTATACATTAATATTTAAGATAAGATTGAAATTTAAAATTTAAAATTAAAGTCTTATCAAATTTGTTTGAAATACTTACTCTATTTCTTCGACGTTGCATTTGTTAAACGATTTTATTATCAAACTTTTATTATTTTATTTTTTTAGCAAAATATTATATACAGAAATTATTACATATACCATATATATCATAAATGACATAAACTTTTATTGCAGTTAAATTGTTGGCAAATTTGTGTGCTTTTAAAATAATGTCCATTGTATTATTATTATTATTATTATTACTTATAATATTATTAGCATTATTATCATTGTTATCGTCAGTAAAATTGTTACAAAAAAAAGTTAATTTCAATTTCAAGTCACTTGTAGTTTATTGTCGGGCAATAAATTTAATTTGTTTTCTTTCGTTCACAGATTCAAATTAAATGATACACTTTTGCGTTAAATAATATAAATAATAATAATAATCATTATCATCATAATAACAGTTTTATTTATATTAGTTTATTATGTTAATTGTTTAAAMATTATATTGCAATATATTTTCTTGTAACTTTGCGTATAGTATATACTGTATATATCAACCACTTAAAATAAATGCCAAATGATTGTTTTTTAATTTTTGAAACACTATTATAAATGCTTAATTATTTTATAATAATTTTATTTAAAAAATATTTTTGGTTTAACTATATAATTTTATTATAATTAATGATATATAACTACTAAATAAATAATATTCTTAATAAAGTTAATAATAATAAATTTATTTATTGTCTTATTTTAGTGACAATTAATATTCTATTAAATAATTTGCTATAAATAAAAAGTTTTCTATAATTGAGCTTGTTTATTGTTTAAAAATTATTCTTAAATTATATATATATGTGTTTATATATTTAAAATTGTTATTTAATAATATTGTAGACTTTCAAAAATTGATTGTAATTATGATTAATTAGACTTTTTATAAAAACACAAAAATCTATTATAACAAAAATATAAACAATTCGTGATGACCTCGATGTTAATGATATTGATGGCAATGGTATGGTATGGTGTAGTGATATTAACGGTAAGTACTATTGGTTTATATACTGTATATATATATATTTTTTATTTATCTGATTAATGCTATGGTTTTATATCTATGGTGATCATTGGATATGTGTTTAACAGCTGTATTCCACTATTATTTTTAAGACAATATTTTCAATGTGTATGTRTGTGTGTGTGTGTGTGTGTGTGTGTGTGTGTGTGTGTGTGTGGCTTATAGAGTGACTTAATATTGGGAACAATAACCAGTACTACTAAATTACTAATAATAATAATAATAAAACTTATAAGTTAGTAGTAGTAGTAATATATTTGTTGATTAAAATGGTGTTTCTCATTAATACATTTGATGATTATAATAATAGCAATACGTTATTGTTATATTTGAGTAGATACTAATAAGTTATTTCATTGAACAATGTATAACTGATTAATTATATTATTATTTGTAGTAGTAATTGTAGTATTAGCAATAATAATATCAGATGACATTAATTTTAACAATTTATTATGAAATTCAAAATAAACATTTGTTAGAAGAATTTGCATAACTTTTATTAATAATAATAATAATATTGTTGTTGTTGTTATTAATAGCAATATATTTATTATTGATGCGTTAATAGTAATGATGAGTCTATAGTAACGGTTGTTAGTGTTTATTATTAGTAGTAGTAGTGAATAAAAATATTTAGAATAATAATAATAATAGCAATTGTAATAACAATAAATGCTACGACAATTGTAGTAATATTTGTTATAAAAATAATAATAATTAAATATTTTTGGCAATAAATTATAAATATTATGTTTTGTATTGTTCACAAAGTCATTAGTAGTGATAGTAGTAGTGGTGGTCTCCGTCGGCATAATTGAATAAAATTTTTGTCTCTCATTTGTTTTATAGTATATATATTACAATACAATGTTTTCATTACATACTAGTATTGAGAAGGACTGGTTGGTAATAAATTGAGAAAAATATTCATTATCTACATGTGCTCCACTATATACTTGTACTGTACATACAGTGTATATATATATAAATATATGCACATAAAAAACACAATATTAAGTCATAGTTATTATTACAGAGAATATTCTGTATAATAAAATACAGAATATATACAGAATTTTTGTTTCTCACATAATTATCGCTGAATTTTTAAATGCATTTTTTATTAATAGCTTGCAATAATAATTATTATTTTAATAATAAAAAATAATAAAGTTAATGATGATAAATAATATGTATAATTTTCTTAGTAATGTTTATTGTCACATTTTTCTCTATAAATATACAAATAAATTCATAAATACATGATTAGCAAATTAAGCTTAACTTTATGTATGAAAAATAATGTTATTATTTTTAGTATTATGTATAAAAACAATAAAATAGTTATTTTATATAATCTCTAAAACTAAAATCTTATTTTTTAATTTTTTAAAAATTTAGTCAATAAAAAATAAATAAAAATATTACTAATTGATGCARCAGTATAATAGTTAACGACGAAAATAATAATTAAATAAACAAATTTTTAAATAATAATTTAATTTAAATAACAATTATTCATAATTATAATAATTTAGATAAAATGATTTAATACACACATAAATATATTGTTTTGTCTCCTGTAGATTACAAAATATGGTCAGTTAGACTCGGCTTATGTATGTCGATATATATTTTACAAAATATATGTATAGACTAAGTCACATATATATGATATATAATGTAAACACAAATAAATAAATATATATATTATATATTTTACGCAATCACCGATTTGGACAAATGAAAACACCAAACACAAGATACGACAGCATTTTGCCAGAGAAGCACTGGTAGTGTTCAATAGATTTGGTATGACTGAGCGCGAGAGGGAAAGCACTGTTAGGTTTATACAGTTAGGAGGCAAACGACGAAACGCGCCAACGAAAAGAAAATAGTCTCTCTCTCTCTCTCTCTCTCTCTCTCTCTCTCTCTTTCGATGACTCTCTCATTCATTTATAGAATATTCTGTGTAATACTCTCTTGAATATAACATATGAAATCAATGGCTCCCAATACCAGTTTTCTCTCTCCCTTTCAATGTTGTTGTATATGCTCTACTCTATAGAGTCAGTGCTCATGTGCTGTATGTGCCGTATGTGTCGATCGAAGACTAGCTATAACTGTAAGGTATGTGTACTTCAATGCCGGGCTTACAGTTCCCCTCTCTATCCCTTACATTGCTATCCCCTAAATTTTTGTTGTATAATATATACTGTATATATAGTATGTGCGCGTTTGACTGTCTATTACTTTTGATATAATATTATACAGTTTGTTATATAATGCAGTTGTGTGAGTGAAAGAGCAGTCAATTTTATGTTATAATATAAACACACGTTTAATACAATATAGAAATAAAGAGAAAATTTACAGAATTTTATATACAGAATATATTTAACACATAGTTCACTATAATTACCGTTCATTTTATATTAAAAATTTAATTCATTTATTAATATAATAAACAAATATTTTTTWAATAGTTTTTTATGTTATGTAAAAATACTATAATATATTTACTATACAGTAAACTTACGTATTTTAAAGCAAAAATCGTTATTAAAGTAATTTTAAAAAACAATTTATATAGAATATTAAAAAACAAGCAATTTTTAGATATCTTAAAATAATATAAAGTATATATACTATATTATACCATTTTTTGGTTTATTATATTTTTCACGCATTTAATTGCAACATAGTATTTACACACAAAAAGTCTTAATGTACAYTATAATAAAAAAATAAAAGCATTGATATATTGATTTATGCATTTATCTGGTAGACAGTCATCATTTTTTTCCAGTGAAACATATAACTCATTAGATATTATAGAGAAAATTTAACTGTTTTTGTATTTCATAGAAATTTTTTTATATGTATTTTTGAATTGTTCACACATTTTGCATTTATTTCTATTATCTCTCCACATATTCTATAGTATTCTATAGAGAATTTAATGCAAATTTACTTTTTTGTGTTATTTATTTATTTATACATATAATGGCTTTACCAGTGATTATAACATTGAATTACTTTAAATAATGTTTACTATACGTTTTGTTTTATAAACATTTTTTTGTAACAATATAAATATATTTAAATCTTAACATAAGTTTTTAAGTAATTTTTTAAGTAATAGAAAATATAATARAAAAWTTTAATTTAATATTTATATTATTATATATATTGTATACAATATGAATAATAAGTTAATCATAGTTTAATGATTTGACTATTAAATTGAATAAAAAATATTTAACAACAATTAAATGATAATAGTTGATAATATATTGTATTATAGCTTAAACTTATACAGTTATATTAAATAAATAAAATCATTTAATTATATTATTTACTTTAGGCAGTAATTAAAGTAAATATATATATATATATATATATATATTAATATTATAAATATCAACAAAATACTTTAAATAAATTTGCTAAATATAAATTATAATAAAATAATTGTTGCCAACAGATTTTCATAACATTTATCATAAATGAGTTAAATTAAAAATAAAAATTTATTAGATACAATACAATGTGTATAATTTACTGTTATTAACAATACATACATATATTATATAACCCAAAGTATTGGACACACCGGGGATTACTGACTGCTAATTAACGTTTGGGATAATTAATGAATAGCTTTTTGACACTAGTTTTACAAAATATGTTGCTTTCATAGAATTCCTTCATTCAAACTATTTTCCCAAAATTGTTTAATTTTTATATTCCCAGAAAAATTAAAAGAAAAATTATTTTCAAATACTGACACCTATTGAGCACTGAAYATGTTTAACACATATAATTCAGATAATTTAAAAATACTAAAAATAAAATAAAATATTAATTAGATAAGAAACTTTTTCTAATAAGATAATTTTTATACAATATAAAGTTAACAAAAAAAAATATACAGTATATCTATAAGTTATACAAATTAATAAAACTTAACTKTAATTTTTAATAAAATCTCTCAATTAATT